GGATTGCCCGATGGGAGTTGGCCTTGGCTGTTCCATTGTCTCGTTGGGGTCCGACCAGACTTTCTTCTTGCCACAGCGGACGACGCTGGAGGCGAGCCTCTTCTGAAGCCCGAGCCTACTCGCAGCTGTAGTGCTATTATTTCGTAACTAAATTCCTTTCTTATCTTCCTGGGCTTGGGGTAACCCTGGACCAAATGGAAAATTCACATAGCCTTTGAGCGGTTTCTAAGGAGTGCCCAGCCATCTCACCACTGTTGGCTGTGTGTGTGGTGGTCCTTACCTGTGTGCCTCCGCCATGCCACGGCTGTCACCCTGCTGGGTCCGTCCCCTGGAGGGACACTCAATAGCAGCAGGTGTTGGCTGCTATGGTTGGTGCCTGTGCCCTCCTTTCGGTTGACCCTGGCTAACAGGTATCCCCTCTCCCAGACGCTGTGGTCTTTGTCCATGTGTGCCAGTGGCATCACCAGGGTGGTTGCCCTGGATCTCACCTCCATGTGGGTGAGGCCAGCCAGTGAACCCCTCGTGGCTCCTCCTGCAGCTTCTCCCCTATCACGCTGCCTCTGGCAGGTGTGTGAGGGTGTGTGATGCTACCACTGAGTGATGATGGCGCAAGCCCTGGGAACATTACTGCTTCGTCAGCCCCCCCTCCAACCTGCCTGCTGCCAAGCCTGTGGATCCTGGGGTCACTGGCGTCACCCCCTCCTGACAGTGTCAGGGGGTATAGTTCACACACTCTGAAGACACCCTCCCCCCCCAATCGGGTTATGTCATTGACTTTAGCTCCCTGTTCCTGAAAAGCAGCCACACTCCCCACAATGTGCCAGTGATATTTCTGCATCAGGGCCTTTGTCGACCCTGCTCTGCTTCTGGGGAGCCCAGCGCACGATAGCATGTCGGATGAAGTCAATTACTGTGGCCCCTGTAGCCAGAATCCCCACGCGATGTATTATAGTTTCTGGCCTCTGTCTGTGGCTGTCGTCCCATCTTGGAGGAGTTCTCTGCCATGCTAGTAGACAGGATTCAGTCTCCACCCTAGAGGGTGGGAACTAAGCTACCATCTGTTGTTTCCGGGGGGTTATGATCTCCTGAAAGACAAAAAGCAACTTCCACCAGAGGCATGCGTTCTCTGTGCCTAAGAGCTGTCTCGGAAGCAGATGGCAAGCTATCCCGGGACCACGGGAAGAAGAGCCACTAGTGGCAGGGAGATCACAGGACAGCAAAGGGAGCAAAGTCAAACAGACCAGAGGCCGAGCCTGAGGAGCAGTGCCGAGACGGCGGAACCACGGGGGAGCCACGAGCTGGCTTCCCGGCCCACTGAGGCAGGGACCAACGGACCGCATGCGGCACCGAGGCTGAGGAACCGAGAGAGACTGGCCGTGGTCTGAGGAGAGGTGATGCTGTGGCCCCACCACTGTGTCCTCACTGCAGACTGATCTGAGCTGTCCTAACCCCTTCGCTTCTCTAATAACCTTCCCTTGGTGCTCTTGTCTGAGTTCTTTGTGCCCATTGCAGTGAGTTATCGAGGCCCACAGACGTAGGGCACTGGGGAAGATTCGTTGGCGTCAGAGCAGGTACGGAAGGATGAGGGTGGAAGCGGGTCTGACTGCTGCCTCATGGCAGGAGGGAAACTGGAAGAGGTCAGTTATGCCTAAGATTCTTAGACCTCCTCAACTCCTCAGCCTGGAGGTGGTCCCTCCGAAATCCTCTTGTCACACTCTTTCTGTAGCCTTCATGGTCTCAGGAACAGACGCGCCTCCTTCCGGGTTCCAGACCAAAGACCTGGTCTCCTTTGGATTTCTCTTCTCCCACCCCAATCAGCCCTTCAACCAACAGTGGCCCTCGACCGTCCAGATCAATATCCTGTCTGTCTCCTTTTCCAACAAATGCCTCCTCCCTCCTGCCCAGACTGCCTTGTGGACTGTTCTCAACACAGCTACCAGCAGATCCCATTACAGTGAACCCTCGTTTATCGCGGTTAATCGGTTCTAGACCCTACCGTGATAAATGAAATTCCGCGAAGTAGGATTCCTTATATCCAAAAGTTTTACCTTTTCCTGGATGGTGAGCATCTTCCTCTGGCACTTATTTTTATTGTCAGAAGGCTTAGAAGAAGCAGCTCCTTTAGGAGCCATCATAGGGCTTAGATAAAATTTCTTAAAAATCGCAAACAATTACAGTGCACTGTACAAAAGCAAAAATGCATCTGATACGTAGCTCCGATACGTAGCGATGCAGACAGAAGCGTGTACAGTATGAGCCAATCAGTGGCAGTAATGACAGAGCATGCGCTGTTACGCAAAAACCGCGATAGAGTGAAGGCGCGGAAGTCGAAGCGCGAAGTGGCGAGGGTTCACTGTATTGGAAAGCCCCACCCTGCCACTCCCTATCCCTGGCCCTTGAGCCACACTGCCAGGTGACTTGCGCCCTCTGGCCACTGCCCTCCACTCCCACCTGGTCTCAGCATTGCTCTGCCCTTGCCTGCCCTGCCCTAGACATGCCAACTGAGTGCTGTCCCAAGCCCTTCACCCCTGCTGTTGTCTGCCTGCCTGCCTTCCCATAGTCCTGTGGGTGTGACTCCGTGGATGCTTCCAGGTTTCAGCTCAGACACCACCTCCCCAGGAAGCCTTCACACCCTGGCTTGTGGGTTCATTATTTTCCTCTCCCGCCTGGATGCCCGTTCCAGGAGGGCAGGGACAAGGCTGGTGGTGTCCACAGACATGTCCCCGGGTCACACCGTGCTGTTGGTGTGAGCGGACGTGGGCTCTGACTCAAGGTGACCTTTTGGGAAACAGAATGAAACGGTGCCCCATCCTTTGGCCTCTGCCTGCTTGTTGGTCTGTTGGAGTCCACTGGAGTGGCTTTCGTGTCGGTCCATCTCACCGAGGTGTCCCTCATCTTTGCTGACCTTCCATGTTACCAGCCACGGTGGTGACACACAGTAGGCGCACAGGAGGGACTGACTCACTGACCAGCAGTTCCTTTTGTATTGGGCCCTAAGGGGCGGGAACTGCTGTAGACTGGGTGACCCTCATTGTCCTTGGCTTTTTTAGGAACTAGCTTTTGTAGGTCAGGCCCAGCTCGCTCTGCCGTGCCCTGCCTGGCCCCGCAGCCCGTGGGCTGCCTTCTCTAGAACCATCTGAACACTGATGACTGTGCTTTTCTTTCTCCATGAGACCTTTTTAGCAGCGTGACTTTCAACATTGATGCCGAGCCTGTGGGAAAGAGCTCTGGGTATTGAGGAGCTGTGGGAGTTAGGAACAGGTCTGGCCACCGGGAGTCCCAGGGGCCCGTGAAATCCAGCGACTTTCCCGGGGCGGAGGAGGTAGAGGATTAAGAGAAGGTGGCATAGAAGTGGTTTTCGGAGGATGAGGAGGGGAAGCCAGGGCATCTTCTTCCTGCAGGCAGGTAGAGGGCAGGAGTGCGGCCCGCTCTCGCTGTGTGCTGGTGTTAGGACTTCAGGCAGGATGAGATGTGGATCAGCTGCTGTAGAGAGCTTGCCAGGGCTTCAGTGCTGGGCTGCTAAGAGCAAGGTTGGCAGGTTGAATCCACCAGGCCCTTGGGGGGAGAAAGATGAGGCCGTCTGCTCCCCTAAAGAGTTGTCGTCTAGCACCGAAGAAACACACACCTTCCCTCTAGTTCTTTGGTGCTTCCTCCCCCCACACTATCATGACCTCAGTTCTACCTTACAAATTGGATTAGACCAGAGCATGCACACTGCTACAGACAAGGGCCCCAAACACAGGGAATCCAGGATAGATACCCCCCCCCCCCAGGGCCAAGAATGAGGGTAGAGAACCTATTACCCTCTCTCAGGGGGACGAACAACAGAAAGTGGGTGAGGAGTGATGGAGAACAAAGTAAGATATGAAAATTATGATCAAAGGTTCATGAGGGAGGGCGGGCAGGGGAGGAGGGGGAAGAAATGGGGAGCTGATATCAGGGGCTCCAGTGGGAAGATGACGATGGCAGCATATGTGCAAAGGTGCTTGACACACTGGATGGATGTGTGGATTGTGATAAGAGATGTAAGAGCCCCCAATAAAAGTATTTAATTTAAAAAAAGTTGTCGTCTTGGGAACCCTAAGGGGCCACTGTGTCCTATAGGGTCACTGTGAGTTGGAATAAACTCTACAATCAGGGTTTTTTGGGGTCAGGGGTGGAGTAGGGGAGAGTAGGGAGGTGGCTGAGCACCAAGGGGACAGATGGGTGGTGTGGCCTGAGTTGCCGGCAGGCATGGTGAGGGAATGGGGTGCTTTGTAGAGAGCTGGGCAGGGAGGAAGAATGGACAGGACATGAGTTAGATGCATGAGGGGCAGGGGCTTTTAAGGACAGCATGGTGTCCAGCACGCTTCCCCTGGGCAGGAGCTAGAGAGGCCCTGTTGCTACCCAGAATCTCAGTTGGTTGTCAGCTTCTCTGGCCAGCGTTCCTGGAGCCCTGGAGAGTTTTGGGGTGGTGGTGGCAGTGTGCAGCTGGGTAGGCGGGTGGAGGTGGGTACGTGTGAGTGGCATGAGCTGGAGAGAGTGGGAGGGACCCAGTGTGCCCATGCCAGGCTGGACATGAGCCCTGGTCAGGGAGTGTGGTTGAGCAAAGGGCATGTGTGTGCACGTGGATGTGGGGGCCGGGCCGGGAAGGAAGGTTTGACTGAGTACGTGTGTCACCATGGTGGCAAAGGTGAGCTGGGTGGCTGGCCGAGTGTGTGCACATGAATCCACATGAAAGGTATGTGTGGCAGTCTGCGCTTACCTGAGGCCCAGGACTTAGGTTGGGGGGAGGCAAGAGGGTCTGCTGAGAGTGTGAGCCTGCAGCTTCTGGATGTGCACCCGTGGGTGAAGGCATCCGAGACTGGGTGCACACTCTTGCATGTGCTCATGCCTGTGCATGTGGGGGTGCATACGTGTATTGCACGTGTGTGTGCACGCCTGTTGTGTGTGCGCTAGGGCCTACATGGGCCACTTACAGACTTCCTTCCTGATTCCCCCAGGGCCTGAAGAAGGAGACCACCCAGCACGAGTTGTGCCTGAGCTGGCGGTGAGACAATGGAGCTGCTCCGGGGTCCTGCGGCAGCCTGGTTGGCCCTGGCGGTGGCCTTGGTGTGCCCGGGCGAGGCCGCCCCGCCACAGGACTGCACAGGCATCGAGTGCCCGCCCCTAGAGAACTGCATCGAGGAGGCGCTGGAGCCCGGGGCCTGCTGCGCTACCTGCGTGCAGCAGGGTTGTGCTTGCGAGGGCTACCAGTACTACGATTGCTTGCAGGGCGGCTTCCTGCGGGGCCGGGTGCCCGCCGGCCAGTCCTACTTCGTGGACTTCGGCAGCACCGAGTGCTCCTGCCCGCCTGGTGGTGGCAAGATCAGCTGTCAGTTCATGCTGTGCCCAGAGTTGCCTCCTAACTGCATTGAGACAGTGGTAGCCTCGGACAGCTGTCCGCAGTGTGGCCAGGTGGGCTGTGTCCACATGGACCACAAGTACGCCGCGGGCCACACTGTCCACCTGCCACCCTGCCGGGCCTGCCACTGCCCTGACTCAGGGGGTGAGCTAATCTGCTATCAGTTGCCCGGGTGCGACAGTGATGCCGAGGGCTTGCCAGGTGCTGCTGCCGCCAGCACCGGGAACTTCTCAGACACCGAGGTGGGTGACCCGGGGCGCCACTACGAAGACCCTTACAGCTATGACCAGGAGGTGGCCGAGGTGGAGGTGGCGGCAGTGGCCCTGGCAGGCGAGCTCCAGGCAGGAGCAGGGGGCCCGGCCGCTCTGGGAGGTGGGAGTCAGCCTCTGTCCACCATCCAGGCCACACCCTGGCCAGCTGCCCTCCCCAGGCCCACAGCGGCCACTGCCCTAGGACCCCCAGCCCCCGCTCAAGCCAAAGCCAGCAGAATGATGGAGGAACGCAAGGAGGAAGAGGAAGAGCAGGAGGAGGAGACGCGAGAGGAAAGAGCAGTCACGGAGCAGCTGGCCGGGCTGCCCACCGCAGGCCCACTGGGGCCAGGTCTGCCAGTTCAGGAGGTGGGGGCAGAAGCCAGGGCAGGGCCTGAAGAGAACCTCCTCCCCGACGCGCTGCCCCGCCCTCCTCGTGAGGGGCAGCAGGAGGGAGCCAGGCCAGCACCGACATCCAGTGTAACAGGCCCTGCCCCCACGCCGAGTGCTCCTGGGGGTCCAGCGAAGCCCAGTGTCCACAGCATCCTGACCACATCGCTGCAGGAGGTAGCCCAGGACCTCCCAACCCAAGAGGTGCCCAAGCAGCCAAAGATTCTGACCCGTCCCCGGGCAGACGAGGACACAGACCCCAACTCTGTCCATTCTGTCCCTAGAGCTGGCCCTGAAGGTAAGACCCTTTCTTAGTTTCTCCAGGGCATTCCGTCTGGGGGTGGGGTGGGCAGCCTGGGGCTCTGGTCTCTGCCTCAGGTTACAGTATACCTGCCCTGGGTGGGGGAAGCCCCGCAGAGCCTGAGGAGAGCCCTGTCTCAGCTGTCCCTGGCAAGGAGGAAGAGGCTTGCAGGCTGCTGCGTGGGCAAGCTGCTCTGCGATGGCCTTCCCCCAGCTCTGTGGAAATGGAATGGATGGATGTGTATGGGGGCGTGAGACCCCTACTGCAGGGGGGACTGGGGCACTCATTCGAACAGAGGTCTGAGGCCCCTCCAGCATCCCTCCTCAGAGCTGCGTGGTCCCTCAGGAGGGTTTTCCTCCAGGGCAGGATTGGCCCGGCAGGAAATGTGGAGCACAGATGTCCTGTGGGCACTGGTTCACATCCTGCCGCCCGACACAGCCCTCTGGACATGGTTCTGTTCTCCATTTCTGGTGGGGGCTCCCTGGGGGTTCCCGGCTTCCCAGCAGATCTGCCAGCATGCCAGCCAGGGCCCCGTTAGTGCATACTCTGCCTTACCCAGGCCACAGGTCCTTGCCAGGCAGCCTCCTGCCCCAAGATGCCTGCACTGGCGACTCCCTCTTCCTGAAATGCTCTTCCAGGTGGTCTCCCCCCCACAGCCCCCATCCCCAGAGAGGTGCACCCCGGCCCTCCACTAGCTGGAAGAGCTCCAGCACCTCATCCTCCTGCTCCGAGCTTTTTGCTCTTAGCACCGAGCCCCCTGACACGAGTGGGTATGTAGTTTGGTTTACTTGTATACTGTCTGTCTGCCTGAGTAGATGGGTGTCTGCCACGTCCCATGCGGCACCCATGTCCCCGAAGCTGGCTGGGCGAGCAAGCAGTGGGTGCTGCGTCGGTGCTGGCTGAGTGGAGTCATCGCTGACCACTCCCCTCCCTCCTGCAGTCTTCCCTCCTTCCAGCACACCCCACCATGATTGTCCGTTTTGAGGCAGTGCATGTGTTCATGTGTTCCCACACCTGCCCAGGCTGTACAGCCTCCACGACTTCCCTGACTCAAACCCACTCTGAACTGGGCATTGGCTGACCCCCTCTCTTTCCCCTCCCCCTTCCCCTATCCCCACCCACCCCCGCCAGCTCTAAGAAGCCACTGGAGGTTGCCCATTATCCCTCTCCCTACCCGCTTCCCCTCCAGCCTGCACCCACAGACTGTGTGGGGCCTGAGGAGGCAGGGCTGCTGGAGCCCTGTGACTTCCGGCCCACGAACAGCAAGGCCCAGGTGGTCTCTAGGGGGCTTCCTGGAGGCACGGGTGTTTCTGCAGCCTAGTCCTGTCCATGCCCATACCACAGCCCCCGTGGTGTGGCCCCAGGCAGGTCTCCTGCTGGCCTGGCCATAGCTCCTCGGTTGTCTTTGCTCCCTCCACTGCTGGGCCTCTGCTGCAAGTACACTTGGGGTACCTGCCAGGGTGGTAGGACTGGGGAGCTCTGTGGCCCACGTGGCCCCGCTTCCAGTCTGCCCGTGCTAGGGGCCACTCACCTGACTGAGCCCCTCAGGTCCCCGCCCTTTGTGTCGGGGATTCCTCTCCCCCGCCTCAAGTCCAGAGGTGTGGTCCAGAGCCCTGTCCTAAGCTGAAGAAGAGGAGGGTACGGAGGTGGGGTAGCGGGCACAGGGCACAGGCTTGCTGGACTGGCATGCTGCGTTCAGAGTAGCTCCTCGTCCTCCCTGCCCTTGGACCTGTGGGGCCTGCCTGTGGGGCTGTGCTTCGGGCTGGGCGAGGGTGCTGATGAGCTCCTGGGCAGGTGCTGGGCCAGCTTGCTGCAGGATGCAGACCTTTCGGGCTGCAGGTGCCAGGGTTTCTTGAGTAGCCGCAGCACCTACCATCCTGACTCTTGCTGCCAGTGGCCTTCCTGCGATCGTGGGCAGCCTCTGGGATCCCGGAGAAGGGCTTTGTTCTTTTCTCCTTTTTTTAATTAAATCATTTTATTGGGGGCTCTTAAAGCTCTTATCACAGTCCATACAACATCGATGATGTCCAGCATTGTTGCCATCATCATTTTCAAAACATTTTCTTCCTACTGGAGCCCTTGGTAGCAGCTCGTTTCTCCTCTCCCCCACCTCTCTCCCTCATGAGCCCTTGATAATTTATAATTTTTTTTTCCATGTCTGACACTGACCGCTGTCCCCCTTCACCCACTTTTCTATTGTTCACCCCCTGGGAGCACGCTATATGGCAATCATTGTGATAGGCTGCCCTCATTCTTCCCTCCCTCCCCGCTCCCCCCGCCATCATGAGCCCTTGATA